TCAACAGGGATCGAGGGAAGGCCTACTGCCTCGTCCCCTGATCGTTTAAATTAGCACTGTCCTTAAAGCTTAAATGTTTCATTGCAGTTAATTGCGAATTAGAAGGTCGCAAATGACATTCAACATGTCACACTTGCCCTATTAGGTGACGGGGAGGACCTTCTCGTATTTAAAGTCAAAATTAAAGTGCCTATCATATCCTTAAGTTGAGTTATTTCCGTCTTCATCTGACCTATTTCAGACTCCTCTTTAGGTTATTCAGGGGTGGCCTTAACATTTAAACTGGGAGGTTTAACTTGATTGCGCACAGGCGAAGGACTAGTCCTACGTACATGCGGATATACCGGACTATATTCCACTGCTGTTTGCATATCTGCTTAGGAAATTCCCTAAATCCTACTTGAGAGGGACTGGGTGATCTTGACTCAGGGTAGTAATAAGTACGACTAACCCGAGGGGATCTTAGGTCTTTATATAATGGTCGAGGGAGCGTGGATCGAGATTGACGAGACGTAAACTTATCCGAATCATAGTCATCATGTCTATCTGTTCGGGGAAAATTTCCAATCTCATTAAGGGATCCTACCTCACTATCTCCCCCCGGGATAACCACTACCCCTATTCCTATCTGAATTAGATTTTAACGGAATTACGCTGTTGACATGAGTGAACCACTGCAACCGTTCAACCGCTTCCTCAATATCAATTAATCTTAAGTTAGCGACAAATCTGCCCGCTTCTGGATTATTACATCCCGAAACCAATTTCAAAACAGATTGTCTAGCTATAAAATCATCCGACGACAAACCAGAGTAAGCTCGTAATGCTAACTGTTGTACACGATCACTCCAATCACTTATCGACCCATTGAGACCTCGAGTTGCGGTCTGAATCTCAACTTGAGCAGCCTCCGGAATAGTTTGAACTCCTAAGCGTTTTTGCATCATTTCTAAAGATGATTTAAAATTCATGCGAGGACATCTCCGAGTTATACTTGTAAAGTATTCCGCTGCCTTATCCGTTAAACAAGAACATAGATAATCCTTACACCGAGAGCTATGAGACCCCCAGGGCTGGGACAGGGCAAAACGGATAAACTTATCACTAAAAGTATCCCAACTTCCATCTGATTTCCCGTTATAAACTAAAAAGCGAGGAATAGTTGAGGGGTTAAAGGAGTCTTCTCTTGGTTGACGTCTATTATCATGTCTTACAAACCTCCCCTCCTTTTCAAATGTATTGGGGTGGGGTTCCCTACTTCTCACATCCTGACCTGAGTACAAAGTGGGTTGCATACATGACCGTGGATCCTCTAAACATACCTCTGCCTCCTCAAGAAAAGCTTCCCTATAATCAAAGGGTTCTGATTTAACTGGCCATTTAGAATCGGTACCAAATTCTAATTTTTCTGCCATGATATGATTATTGTTGAATTAAGTAAACTAAGTTTATTTGCAACAAAAATGTAACCAATAACCCTTTCAAGTAACCTAGGATATAGGGGCTTTACTATAAAAGTAATCTAGGAAAATAATTCAACTTAATCAAGTCAAGAATTAAACTTAATCTAAAAAATTTCCCAAAAGTTTGACTATTTTCTCAAAAGTCGGCCATTTTGGTTGTTTACTTCCGCGAAATGCGTATCGGGAAATTCCTGAGTTAATTATACTTTCCACCTAACGTAAACATAGACCAATAAATATCACTAAGTACAAATTAGTATCCCTGCAGATTATTAATAAAAGTGAGGTAATCTAAATTATTTGTTGGGTTGTCTATATGGCTAATATTACCGATTTAGCTAGAGCTAACCCCCAAACACTCACAAAGCATGCGTTACCATGGTGACGGCTAGTACTTTACCGTGCTTTCGAGTATTCTATGTCAACAATTTAAATAATATATATGTGAGTTTGCCCCATTGCAATATGAACTACAATTACCCTAATAAATATATCAGATACGAAATTTCAATCACTACTACTTTTTTATAATTTACAATAGGCAGTTAGGTGAATTTTATCCACTCACTAAAGGGGAAACGGGAATTTTAAACTAACTCCCACTAACACCCTACCCACAAAAGTTCAAAAGCAGCAGCGCCATTTATTGTAAAATTAGACTTTATCTAATTTAAAAATACCAACACCTACTTTCGGATACCCAGTATTGACCTGTGATGGCCGAAGAAGGCCAATAATGGGTTATGGGGTGTCTCCTTCTGCAATCTTGCAAAGCTAATTACATAGGCTATCTAACTCAACACTACAGGATAAAAAAACTCCCCATCAACAACCATTCACTTCAGGTAAGCAGTAAGCTACACAACTTCACCAGTTAAATAAACTCCAGACATCAAGAGTCAAAGATCAGAGAGGTGAATGCACATACATGTGTAGAGTGGTTCGTGCAAATAACAAAAATCCAATAATCGAGCTATATTTGGGGCTTATTTTAACAAATATGATAAGACTTACCATTAAAATCATCATTCATTAACAATTAAACTATTGCTAAGTTGGATATTTGTATGATTTGGCCATTTGAATGGGACTTTCTAATTATATGGAAAAGTTGATCGCCCAAGTAGCGTTACAGCGGTAGATTTTTTCATTAAAAAGAGTTATGTTTCTTGGTCACATCAAAGTTTCAAATTTTGCTCTGGAAAACGAATTCTTAATTTCCGCAGTCGGCTTTCTTCGTTTTTTTTCGTACGTACAATTAACGATTGAATTTAACATTTGTACGCGTGCGCAGCCCTTAGTTAGAGAGAGAGATGTCTGTATTTTGAGTTGATTTTTTTAACGTTTACATGCAATAGACTATAGTTAAAACTTTCTAATAAGGGGTGAATTTCGTGGTTTACAAACGCAGTATGTAGAGAGTGCTTACCGTACTCATATTGTAGATGTTAAATATTCTTTATGATAATCCTATTTTGTTTCAAATAATTATCACAAATATAAAAACATCCACATCAAAAACAGTGTTCCAAATGTCTAGCATTGCATTCGGAATTCCGTATAAGAATCTACTTAAAAGTCAAAAACGCGACTCCTACACATTGTGCTCTATGTGTTATAAATTAAAGAATAAACCGTAAATCAATTGAACCCATTTCAAGGTGGAACTGCATGCTTTTTGATATGATTGGGCTATTTGTGGCGCCAGATAATCCAAAAATAGAAGTCGATACGTGACAATGCGTCTCGAAAAATTCTTTGATCTGTTATATGACTGGAAAATTCTGTTATTAAAAACAACCGGCATGACAATGACTATATAATAAGTTGGGAGTTCTACAATAGGGATCTTTTAGTGAAATGTTAGAGAAATTTGAGTTTAAATATATCCTTTGTGTTTAAATTACCACTTATGGTTAGTTGTGTCATTTTATGTATCAATCTGGAAATTTCTGTTTTATAGCTATTGTTCTCGAAAGTAAGACGCACAATTTACGCATCGTGTCGCGTTTTCATATTTTTAATAATTATGAAGCAGTCAATGCGCGTCTTTTTGGTTATATTTCAGTTCTAGAAAAATGAGTTGTTGCTAGATTTATAATAACTGGAACGTTTTGTAATCACCATGTTAGAAATGGCAAATGCATAAGGATAATATACATGAATGGCATAGCCATAATGGCACATCCTCCTATTAAATTTGACACAAAATCGGAGGCCAATTTGCAGTGCCCTAAAATGATTAGAATCCGAGTCTTGTGACCAGTACCGTAATTTTATTTTAATCATGCACGTCTGGTTAATCGAAACTAGAGAAAATAATTTCGTTCAATTAATTTCCAGTCTCAAATTTGTTCTGCGTATTTAGAGCTAGCAACAATGTAACTTCTAAAGTAACTAAAGCGCCCACTAACAACAGAGTTTTACGGTTAAATAAAAGTAACTTTCACAGTCTTGCAGTGTCGGTATGTTGCCACGAGAGTGGATTTAAAAGATAGAAAAAGGGCGAAACTACACGAGTTGACTCTGAACCGAGAACCGTTACAATATATACGTCATTGGTTACAATCAACTAACTTAGAAATTAAATCGCCGAGTTTTAGCCAAAATTTTAATCTAGTTCGTAACTACTTATTTTCAAAGTCCAACGAGTAAAGAATAATTTTTTTACATGGCTTCATTGATAAATAAGTGAACGAATATTGTCACGTGAATGTCTATTTTGGGCGACTGTTTGCTGCTTACAGTGCACGAGCGAGCCCGTGAGAGCACTTTTCTCATAAACGAAGTTTTGATCCGCGTGACAACATGCTGTTAAAACAGGTCAGTTTATATAGTACAGATAAATGAGTCTGTGGGCCACTCTAACATGTGAGCTTTTCATACCCTATAACAACACACGCATGTGCACTCTGGGGTCATCAATACAGACCAGTCCATTCTTAGCTTAAGGGAGACTGGGCAAGTTTATAACAATATCTTTTTAGGCCTTGGGGTTTGAGTTAAAAACTTGTCTAATTTGTTTTGTTTATCTTTGTTTACCTGGTCCGCCATCTTGGTTCATTAGAGCCTTTGTTCAAATTCGATAGAATAAGTTGGATAACTATTTTCCTTGGTGTTCTTCAATTTGTTTACATCAAACAGATAACCACCCAATTACCTATACAGAATCTATTTACAACTGGTATAAATTGACACTGTTATTTATGTCTAAAACTCATTTTCCTCAACATTTGCACGAGCCAGATTTATCAAGCCTTCATACCCAAGGGCGCATAACTCATCTATCCGATTTGTGACAACCTTGATCGTCTAGGAATAGCTGGCGTGGATACTGTCTGTTGGGACTCAGTAGTCTTGGACTTCACGTTATTTCTGTAATTATGGCTACCGAAATCAGGCGAAACATGTAGACAATTAAATAATAGTAATTTCTTTAGGCATTTTAACCTTTATTTATTATATTATGCAAATATTTATATATAGGTTTTTATACCGAAGAAGATTATATAGTGTACAGACATAGTACCAGCTTACCTTGACAAAAGGACCCTTCAAATCCAGGAGGACAGCTGCAACTCACGTTACCTTCTGATGGATAACACGTACCATCATTTAAACAGGGGTTGTTCATATCACAGGGGTTAACTAAAATTAAATTAAAGAAATGCAGACCTCACATACATTAGTAATAATGTATATTAGATACTGAGTGACCTAATTCCAATTGTTAATTATAGCATAATGTAATATGGATATGGGTCATTCCATGTCAAGGGGACCAAATTCTGAGAAAGCTGTAAAGTGACCTCCTCTGAAAATTTATAAAAAAAAACATATATGTTATAGTACATACAGTCTTATGTAAAACTGTAAAGTTATAGGACTCTAGTATTAATATGACCATCTGAATCGGATACCCGTTCGCAAGTTTTGAAACTACTGTTATATGGCCCGATTTTAGTGTTCTGATTTTATATCCCCTAGATAGACAATATTCTTGAAATTAAGGGGTTTGTAAGAGAATGTTATATTGATTGTTTTTTGTACAAGTATCACATTTTGGCACTTAAGGTACTCCATACGCAGTTGATGGTACTTTTCCTGTAATCTGTGATTGTAAATTCTTAATCTATATAACATTTTTTTACACACCCCATAATTTCAAGAACATAAACTGGCTAGAAGGAATAAAATCAGATCACAAAAATCGAGTCATATAACAGTAGTTTCAAAACTTACGAAAGGGTACTCCGATTTAAATGGTCATATCTCAGTCAATATTTATACTAGAGTCATATAACTTTACAGTTTTACATAAGACTCTATGTACTATAACATATTTTGTTTTCATAATTTTCTGAGGGCGTCACTTACAAGCACTGGTCCGGGTGAAATGGAATGACCTAGAAATTATCAGTGATGACTGTAAAAAGTAGGCTACTGGTGAGGATATGACATTACCAAGTAAGTATAGTGACATCCTACATTCTGATCGATGCCATAAAATTATTCATATCAATTCTGTATAGCATGTTAGTGAAATGGTCCGATAAGCAGCAGAGGAACAAGCTGAGTTCGGGAAAGGATATTCAGTGGTAATAAATTTGTATTACTAACTGTAAAACAGGTTGATTATATTCGGTCTTATCGATTTCAGGTACGCCTTGTCCGAATTAATCAAACAAAGTTATGTTATACATTGTTTGAGCAAGATTACATGGACCTATGGTAACAATGTTATAAATTATAATGTAACTAGTTAATTCAGGTGTAATGAGTTAATTTAGATGTAGTGAGTTTATTCAGATATAACGAGTTAACTCAGATGTAATTGGTGGATTCTTGTGTCAATCTAATCTAGTGTCAACCAAGAATGTATCCTGAGTCCTTTTCTTTTCCTAAAATGAGCTTGTTAATCAAAGCATGCTAAATTATTATGACAATAAGGAATTTAAGTAACTTACTATCACAGTTTTCTCCTAAAAATCCTGTAGTACAATTACAGCTGTAACCGTTATCAACTGGTAAACATATACCGCCATTTTGACATGGGTTGGGTAGACACAGGTTCACTAGAATTAAAAAGGCACAAATAATATAAACATGTTGGTTGGTTTCTCTATAAGGATTAATTCTCTCAATTTAATATTGTTATTATTGCTTATCAATACCTTTCCCCAAAATTCTAAAACCTGATCATCAACAAGCACGTGCCCTGATCGTCAACAAGCCCATTCCCTGATCCTATTTAACTTTCGGCGGCCTTGGTCAAATCGGCAGATGGTCTTAATAATTGGATTTAGATAACATGCGCAGTTCACAATCTATTCCCGTTTACCTGCAGTGTTGATTGGGTTAGGTTCCGATTTTCTGTTCGACTTCCATCCATAATTTCATCATGAAGTGGATAATCGAGACTATGCTTTTTTTTATCGTACCGAAATTAGTAATGATGATCGAGGCTAGGCCGAAAATTCAATAGCTAAAATTTCGGTTCAGAGTGGATCAATTTCACTGAAATTTTCAGTAATTTCCTTTTACATTATTTAGTTTTAAACTATTGTAGTAAGAACTGTCAGCTCTTTATCTAATATCCCAAAATGCATCTTTAATCCAAATAGTGGACGTATTACAATATTCCCCTTAATCACAACAGTGTATGGGTTGCAATTTCAATCTGTCCATTAATCACAACAGTCTATGAAAAATCATATAATGTTTTTCTTACAAATACAATTAATTACAACAACATATGTCTTACAATTCTTACAATTAATTACACCATCATATTGCTTACAATTACAATATTTCTATTAATTACAACAGCATATGGCTTACAGTTATAATATGTCTATTAATTACAACAGCGTATGGCTTACAATTACAATATTTCTATTAATTACAACAGCGTAAACCTAATAATGTATGGAATAGAATTACAATATGGACATTAATCATAATAGTGTATTAATTAAAATTACAATATTTGCCTTAATTACAACAGTGCACCAGTAACCCCAATTTCATTTCAACTCAATTCCGCATCATCCCGGGCAGTCGTTACAATAGAAATACCGACCAAGGTTTATGCGTATGTAAACCCCCCCCCCCCAAAAGAGCGCATTCTGAAATCTGTGTCTAAATGGGTCGAATTGGCCAATATCCAAAATCGCCGCCAGTTTTTGCCGGGGTAGTTGAATCCATTTCCATACACAGTTTGGTGATTAGTTATACAGCGGAGTTAATATTGGGGAATGATTCCAGTTGGCGGGAAATTCGAATTTTGCAAAATGATCATATTTTGGTGTCGAAATATACATTTTTGAGGTAGCCGATTCCAATAGAAATTAGGGGACTAAGGATTCTCGAGTCTGCCTCAGATCTTATACGATTGCATTCATCAAGCATCGTCAACAATTTAAATAATATATATGTGAGTTTGCCCCATTGCAATATGAACTACAATTACCCTAATAAATATATCAGATACGAAATTTCAATCACTACTACTTTTTTATAATTTACAATAGGCAGTTAGGTGAATTTTATCCACTCACTAAAGGGGAAACGGGACTTTTAAACTAACTCCCACTAACACCCTACCCACAAAAGTTCAAAAGCAGCAGCGCCATTTATTGTAAAATTAGACTTTATCTAATATAAAAATACCAACACCTACTTTCGGATACCCAGTATTGACCTGTGATGGCCGAAGAAGGCCAATAATGGGTTATGGGGTGTCTCCTGCAATCTTGCAAAGCTAATTACATAGGCTATCTAACTCAACACTACAGGATAAAAAAAACTCCCCATCAATCAACACTTCTTCCTTTACACAGCAACCATTCACTTCAGGTAAGCAGTAAGCTACACAACTTCACCAGTTAAATAAACTCCAGACATCAGGAGTCAAAGATCAGAGAGGTGAATGCACATACATGTGTAGAGTGGTTCGTGCAAATAACAAAAATCCAATAATCGAGCTATATTTGGGGCTTATTTTAACAAATATGATAAGACTTACCATTAAAATCATCATTCATTAACAATTAAACTATTGCTAAGTTGGATATTTGTATGATTTGGCCATTTGAATGGGACTTTCTAATTATATGGAAAAGTTGATCGCCCAAGTAGCGTTACAGCGGTAGATTTTTTCATTAAAAAGAGTTATGTTTCTTGGTCACATCAAAGTTTCAAATTTTGCTCTGGAAAACGAATTCTTAATTTCCGCAGTCGGCTTTCTTCGTTTTTTTTCGTACGTACAATTAACGATTGAATTTAACATTTGTACGCGTGCGCAGCCCTTAGTTAGAGAGAGAGAGAGATGTCTGTATTTTGAGTTGATTTTTTTAACGTTTACATGCACTAGACTATAGTTAAAACTTTCTAATAAGGGGTGAATTTCGTGGTTTACAAACGCAGTATGTAGAGAGTGCTTACCGTACTCATATTGTAGATGTTAAATATTCTTTATGATAATCCTATTTTGTTTCAAATAATTATCACAAATATAAAAACATCCACATCAAAAACAGAGGAGCACACGACATGCGCAAAGAAAAAAAACCTTAAGCATTTTCAAATCGGTTCGGCAGCAGTGTTCCAAATGTCTAGCATTGCATCCGGAATTCCGTATAAGAATCTACTTAAAAGTCAAAAACGCGACTCCTACACATTGTGCTCTATGTGTTATAAATTAAAGAATAAACCGTAAATCAATTGAACCCATTTCAAGGTGGAACTGCATGCTTTTTGATATGATTGGGCTATTTGTGGCGCCAGATAATCCAAAAATAGAAGTCGATACGTGACAATGCGTCTCGAAAAATTCCTTGATCTGTTATATGACTGGAAAATTCTGTTATTAAAAACAACCGGCATGACAATGACTATATAATAAGTTGGGAGTTCTACAATAGGGATCTTTTAGTGAAATGTTAGAGAAATTTGAGTTTAAATATATCCTTTGTGTTTAAATTACCACTTATGGTTGGTTGTGTCATTTTATATATCAATCTGGAAATTTCTGTTTTATAGCTATTGTTCTCGAAAGTAAGACGCACAATTTACGCATCGTGTCGCGTTTTCATATTTTTAATAATTATGAAGCAGTCAATGCGCGTCTTTTTGGTTATATTTCAGTTCTAGAAAAATGAGTTGTTGCTAGATTTATAATAACTGGAACGTTTTGTAATCACCATGTTAGAAATGGCAAATGCATAAGGATAATATACATGAATGGCATAGCCATAATGGCACATCCTCCTATTAAATTTGACACAAAACCGGAGGCCAATTTGCAGTGCCCTAAAATGATTAGAATCCGAGTCTTGTGACCAGTACCGTAATTTTATTTTAATCATGCACGTCTGGTTAATCGAAACTAGAGAAAATAATTTCGTTCAATTAATTTCCAGTCTCAAATTTGTTCTGCGTATTTAGAGCTAGCAACAATGTAACTTCTAAAGTAACTAAAGCGCCCACTAACAACAGAGTTTTACGGTTAAATAAAAGTAACTTTCACAGTCTTGCAGTGTCGGTATGTTGCCACGAGAGTGGATTTAAAAGATAGAAAAAGGGCGAAACTACACGAGTTGACTCTGAACCGAGAACCGTTACAATATATACGTCATTGGTTACAATCAACTAACTTAGAAATTAAATCGCCGAGTTTTAGCCAAAATTTTAATCTAGTTCGTAACTACTTATTTTTAAAAGTCCAACGAGTAAAGAATAATTTTTTTACATGGCTTCATTGATAAATAAGTGAACGAATATTGTCACGTGAATGTCTATTTTGGGCGACTGTTTGCTGCTTACAGTGCACGAGCGAGCCCGTGAGAGCACTTTTCTCATAAACGAAGTTTTGATCCGCGTGACAACATGCTGTTAAAACAGGTCAGTTTATATAGTACAGATAAATGAGTCTGTGGGCCACTCTAACATGTGAGCTTTTCATACCCTATAACAACACACGCATGTGCACTCTGGGGTCATCAATACAGACCAGTCCATTCTTAGCTTAAGGGAGACTGGGCAAGTTTATAACAATATCTTTTTAGGCCTTGGGGTTTCAGTTAAAAACTTGTCTAATTTGTTTTGTTTATCTTTGTTTACCTGGTCCGCCATCTTGGTTCATTAGAGCCTTTGTTCAAATTCGATAGAATAAGTTGGATAACTATTTTCCTTGGTGTTCTTCAATTTGTTAACATCAAACAGATAACCACCCAATTACCTATACAGAATCTATTTACAACTGGTATAAATTGACACTGTTATTTATGTCTAAAACTCATTTTCCTCAACATTTGCACGAGCCAGATTTATCAAGCCTTCATACCCAAGGGCGCATAACTCATCTATCCGATTTGTGACAACCTTGATCGTCTAGGAATAGCTGGCGTGGATACTGTCTGTTGGGACTCAGTAGTCTTGGACTTCACGTTATTTCTGTAATTATGGCTACCGAAATCAGGCGAAACATGTAGACAATTAAATAATAGTAATTTCTTTAGGCATTTTAACCTTTAGTTATTATATTATGCAAATATTTATATATAGGTTTTTATACCGAAGAAGATTATATAGTGTACAGACATAGTACCAGCTTACCTTGACAAAAGGACCCTTCAAATCCAGGAGGACAGCTGCAACTCACGCCACCTTCTGATGGATAACACGTACCATCATTTAAACAGGGGTTGTTGAAATCACATAGGTTAACTAAAATTAAATTAAAAAAATGTAGACCTCATATATTAGTAATAATGTATATTAGATACTGAGTGACCTAATTCCAATTGTTAATTATAGCATAATGTAATATGGATATGGGTCATTCCATGTCATGGGGACCAAATTCTGAGAAAGCTGTAAAGTGACCTCCTCTGAAAATTTATAAAAAAAACCATATATGTTATAGTACACACAGTCTTATGTAAAACTATATGACTCTAGTATTAATATGGCCATTTGAATGGGATACCCTTTCGCAAGTTTTGAAACGACTGGTATATGGCTCGATTTTAGTGTTCTGATTTTATATACCCTAGATAGACAATATTCTTGA